GAGGTCTATCATCGCCATTTTTGATTATTAGTCATAATTTGATGGTTTACGTTAGAACTGTCAAAACATTACAGTGAAAAAAATTCCATTTCACTTATTTTTATATAAAATTAAATTCTCTACAAAAAAGGTCTGAGTAAAAATTTTCGTCAGACGAGCCGTTTCCGAGTAATTAAGCTTAATAGATCGATGTGTTTTTTCGATTTGTCCTTTTTACTTTGAAATTTTGTAACTAATAAATTAATAAATATTTAAAAAAGCTTATGTCGGATTCTTAAAGGAAATTTAATGTTCTACAAAAAAGGTCTCAATATTTATGGCTAAATTTAATTCTTCAAAAGTTATTCACGATTAAAATCGAAGAAAAAAAATTGAAATTTTTTGTAGAGAATTTAATTTTATATAAAAATAAGTAAAAAGGAATTTGTTTCACTTTAATGTCTTGACAGTTCCAACGTAAAACATCAAATTATGACTAAAAATCAAAAATAGCGATGATAGGCCTCTAACAATTAATATTAAGGGCTCAAACTTTCACGAAATTTTTTTTTGGCCCAGTCTATTAAAGATATTATACCCAGAGTCAAGTTAAGATTTCTGCCCAGACCTGAAAGTAAATCCGGTTAAAATAAATTCCTTACTCGAAATTATGAAAATTACACCCCCCATTTCCCCAAAGTAAAAACAAACCAAACACAATGGGCCCGTTCACTTTCATTTTTGAATGTGAATTAATTATATATTTATAAAGATATTAAACTCTTTTGTCTGGTGGTACTTTTCCCGTTAAGATATTTTTGCTAGAAGTAAGGGAATTCCCATAAAATTCTTTCAGTGACTCATTCTCATTGCGTCAGAAAACCCCTAATTCCCTTCAAGTCTCGTATCGGTTAATAGTTAAAAGGGCGCGGTTGTCGGATGTATCATTGCACCACCATTCCTCTTCTGCATTTATTAAAGAAATTTACATTATAAAAATATATTATTTTTTTAAAATAATATGTTTATATTTTCAGATAAAGCTGGAAGCCTTACCTTTTTTAAATTTTAATAAAAACAATTAGTATTACTCAAGCTGAATATTACCAGATCGAAATTTTATTTGAGAAAATGTATCTGGTAAACGTGACAACGTTGAAAGTACTTCTAAATAGTGTTGTCTACACACACTTCTAGAAATAAATGCAACGTTGCCACGTTTACCAGATAAATATTGCAAATCAAATTTCTACTTTTTGATTATGGTCTGGTTAATTTTCAGCCTGAGTAATAATAATTGTTTTAATTAAAAAAAAAATAAGCTCCCAGCTTTAAATCTGAAAATATAACATCACGATTTTTAGAAAAATAATGGAATTTTACTATTTAAATTACATATATAAATGCAGAAATGGTATATTAGGGATACTTCCGACAACCCCGCCGTCTTTAAGCATAACCGATACGAGACGTGAACGGAATTAGGGATTTTCTGACGCAATGAGTCACTGAAAGAATTTTATGGGAATTCCCTTACTTCTAGCAAACATATCTTAACGGGAAAAGTACCACCAGACAAAAGAGTTTAATATCTTTATAAATATATAATTAATTCACATTCAAAAATGAAAGTGAACGGGCCCATTGAAAAAGCTGAAAGTTAAAGAAAGAAAAAATCGGTGCAAGATCGGGAATCGAACCTGGGACCTCGAACTTGTTCCATCTCAGCATAATTTCGTAGGAAAAATTAGGGATTTTTCAATTTCAAAATTCCCAAATCGGCCTTTAGTTTTCGGAAAAAATACAAGAGTATATCAACTCTATCAACTTGAATACTATAATAAAAAATATTTGACAAAAACTTCATATTGTTATTTCAAAATTATTCAATAATCACTCTCCACAATTAATAATACATAACGCGCCAATTACAGAACCATTAAAAATTGCAAACGAACTAGATGATAACAAATATGCAAAATGAAGAAAAATCATCCTAATTTTAATACAGACGAATATTTTGAATATAACTCACCTTCTAAACTTGACGAATTATACTACGCTCTAGAAGATTTTCTAACATGCTGTCTCAGCAAACTCCTGGAAAAAATAATGAGAATTACATTAAAAATAGAAAATGGGCTTCCGAAAAGATCAATCTACAAACGCATTCTCAAAGAAAAATTATCTCATTGCAATATTTTTTGACCAAATCAGGCGAATACTGAATGCATTGGAAAATAAATTCAAAAGACATCTTTAAATTTTTATCGAAAACTTCCTAAAAAATATAAGCTTCCGAGCAAGGATTCAAAATACATTGTCAGAAATCCACAGTCAAAACAATGGTATTCCTCAGGGGTCACCGTTAAGCGTTGTATTCTACCGCACTGTGGTGTCAGGAGTTGGATCACCTCAAGAAGATGGCTAGAAAATCCTTTAATAAGGCAAGAACCACAAAACTCAAAGAGGACTGGGATACTTACAAATCTCATCTCAGAGAATACAAAAAATCGTCAGATAAAAACAGAGAGATGCATGGAGATCCTACTGCGAAGAAATCGAAGATTTAACGCAGGCAGCGAGGCTTCAAAAAGCTCTCTCAAAAGATCCACACAGAAGCATTGGTGCGCTAATCAAAGAGGATGGCACGAAAACTGCCAACCTCGAAAATAGCATCAAACTTCTGCTGTCAACACACTTCTCTGACTCGGTCATCACAGACGTGGCCGACTGTGCAGAGGAAGAATACAATCTATCTGTCTATGATTGGTAAATTGCCAAACGCATTGTAGACGATGAAAAAATTAGATGGGCAATATCCAGCTTCTCTCCATTTAAATCGCCAGGATCTGACGGTATCTATCCAGCCCTACTTCAGTGGGGTCTGGAAGAACTCACACCGCACCTGGTGGGTATATTCAGATCCTCGTTGGCTCTGAGGTATATCCCCAAAAAATGAAGAGAAATAAAAGTGGTATTTATACCCAAATCTGGAAGGATAATCCGATTACACTGTCCCAAAAACATACCGACCAATTAGTCTGACATCGTTTTCCATGAAGACATTGGAAAGGCTATGCGAAAGGTACATAAGAGATGCGGTGATTACTACAACACCACTACACCCAAACCAACATGCATACACCCCAGGTAGATCTACTGATTCAGCCCTTCATCTAGTTGAACAATGCCGCCTAACCGTAGGGCGCACCTGGGGTTTTCCCCCCAGAGTCGTCGTATGGACCTACACGGCTATTATAAGACCTATGCTAAAATACGGTGCAGTTGTCTGGGTACCGTAAACCCAAAAATTAACAGCTATCCGTAAACTAGAACAAATTCAAAGAACAGCATGTCTCAACATAACAGGAGCCATGAAAACAACACCGACCAGAGCGATGGAAGTCATTCTTAGTCTCACTCCCCTTGATATTTACATCAAGGAGGTTGCTCTGACGACAATGACATGTCTCCGCACATTTGGAATAGAACCTGATGTAGGATCTGGTGAGGCGAGACGTCACTTTTGGCAGGAGGCGCTCAATATGCTCCCGCTGCTTCAATCGAACATGGACTCCATCTCACCGAGATATATCTTCCATAAGCCATATAAAGTTATAATAAAAGTGGCAGGTACGATTCATATCTACAACGACGGTTCTAAAACAAAACAAGGCTCAGGGTGTGGAATATACTCCAGATTCTTAAACCTAAACATAAAATGGGCTGTGAGCAATAGTGCCAGTGTAGTTCAAACAGAGCTAACAGGGATTCTCATAGCAGCAAAAGAAATAACCAGAAAGAATATCGCTGGAAGGAACATGATCATCTATACAGATAGCTGACAAGCACTACTCATCCTGAACAGACCACGAATTTACCCAGGATTAGTACTAGAATGTCACGAAGCTTTGGCCGAAGTATCAACAATGTGGTCACCTTAAGATGGATCAAAGGTCACGCCACATCGAAAGGTAACAGTCTTGCTGATTCACAAGCCAGGAAAGCAGTCAACCAAATACTTTTTGGACCTGGCCCTTTTATTGGCCTGACAAAATCGGTAGTGACAGACCTAATTAAAGAACATTCCCTTGTGAAATTTAAGGAAAGATGAGATGAAATAAGAAACTGCAGAGTTGCGAGGGAGCGCCTAAGTTATCTTGACAAAACTGCAACAGACAAATACTTTTGACTATGACTAGACAGAATCTGCGCCTAGTCACAGGCATTCTGACTGGTCATTGCCAAATACGGAAGCATCATGGGGTTGCCAGAATCCGCACCTCTTGACGACGTTGAAAACTATATTAAATCTGTAGGCTGGCTCACGAGCTAGGAGGTGCCTATCATCTTAGGAGGATGCACAATAGGCCTAATGAGGCTTAAGTGCCGTGGGGGGTAACCCACCCTCAACACGTTACAGAATCCATACACTTACATCGAAATTAGCAAAACTAGACGACAAAAAATTCTATTCCGAACAATACAAAATTACATTTACACTATCGATTAAAAAGAATTTTACGTGACATGCTCTTACTTTTGATTTACTCGACATCTCAACGTGTTATTTGAATCACCATAACGGAAAAACGTTCCTGACCTACTTTATTCCCCTATGAAACCCTTCAAGATGCATAAAGAATGCATTGCTCAGCCGTATTCTTCCTGCTGATGAAAATCGCAATAAAAAGGGGTTAGGTACAATTCAAACAAACTGCATACGTATTTTAAAATAAACGTACAGTTGTGACTAGATTTTTAAAATTCATACAAAACAAAGTATATAAATATGTATTAAATCAATTACCAAGACTTTTAAAAATATTCAATATAATTACTATGAGAAGTAAAGATTCTGTAGCAATAACGTCATATTTATATTTGAATTATAAATAAAAGACAATTCTTAGAATATATTACCAAATACATAAATGACTTTTTCATTCACGTACTTAGATCGTTTGTTCATTATTTGTATCTATTACGGGTTAGGTTTAATATACAATGCTGGTAAGATCAAATCTTGTTGCTTATGTTTATTCTACCAAGTAGAAAATATCATTATTTATTTTATAGATATAGATATAATTCCATGTCTTATTACAAATGAAAGTAATATTAATAAACGTGGGTTTAAGGAATATGGCAAATCGTCTTCCTACAGACCAAGCACTTTCTTCATCGGTGAAATTATGGATGTTCTCATATTTGTTTAAAGACTAGTATTTTGCAAACATTCGAAAAGTCAGTTTTATTCGCATCGTCTCTAGTGCCATGTCTTCCGATAAAATAATAATTTTTATCGTATTAAATTGCATTAAATGTAGTTTTTCAGTTATTTCAGAAAAACATAACGATACTCTTCATGTTCTTCGGTGAGTAAATATCGCAAATATATTTTTTTATTATTTTAAAATCTTGCAACTCATTGTGTAATTATAGAAAAAACCACCGTTAGAACTGTGAATCATGATGTTTGTTATTTCTTAATATGAAGGTTAAACTTAAATTCATTGACCTCTTTCCAAAAAATATTAATCTTTACAGTTATTTAAAATACCCATATATTAATTTTATTATTTTCCAGGAATCCAACCAATTTTGAAATAAATGGCAGACAAAATAAATATTTTCAAAATTACATTCCTCAAGCATATTACGATCGACGTCAGTATCAAACTTACTCAAAGCCTTATTCTTATAATCATATTAGACATGATCCTTATGTAAGTCCTAATCCAAATTTATACTATTCAGATCCCTATTATGGACAGCCTGTTGGTCAGGGCATTCGTCAAAATATTATGGAGGTTCTGAATTCGATAACGAGAAATGATAATTTACAATGTGTACCCAAAATACTATGCGAGATTACATCAGGTAATGTTTTTTCTTTAGTTTAATATTTACTTTGTCTTAAGGTTTTTTAATTACATTTATCAGGACATATTATTTTCCTAAAATCCTGCTATACGAGTTATTCTTCTTTTCAATGTGGTTATTCGTGATTACAATAGTAACCCAGTTATTTTCCTAAGTCTAGGAGCGTGGGAACTATTTGGCAGGTTGTGTTCCCAAAATGTTGTCGCCAATTTTGGTATTTCTAACTTTATGTATGGACTAGTTCATATTAAAGTGGGAAATCTGGTTAAAGGAAATCACTAAAACCTACATCACGTTACTGAACAAAAGTATTGGAATGGGTGAGTTTTTCTTATAGATGGCCAGTGTTGTTCTTGGTTGAACAATTGTACAAAATATTGTACAATCAGTTATGTGGTTGTAGTGTTGTATGCACTCCTAAAAAAGAGACGGAAATGTACAATTTTAACTTTATAATATTTATGTAAAATCTGGTATATAAAAGACTTTCGTCTACTAAAAAAGTCTACAATTCGTTATATCGTATGTATTAAAATTAATAAAAAAATTAAAGTCTATATTTGGCGCCACTCGCCACCAATCGATATCATTTTGAAACTGGTTGGACTTATATCCTTAAAAAAAAGAATTTTAAGCTTTGGAAAGTGGCAGGTCGCAGGCTGGCAGTGAAAAAGAAGAAGATAAATTAGTGGTTGTACAATCGAACGTAAAAGTGTACAATTTTGACATTGAAAGTTGTACAATTCCAAAATCTCTAGGAACAACACTGTAAGATAGTGGGGCAGAGTCCAGTATAATGAAGGTGGATGAGATTCCTGAACTTTATATATAGACAAGTCCATAATATGACTAGGTCAAGGGGTGGGGGGTTCAGAATTATTTCCATTGAGGCTATCGGTGTACTTCTCAGTGCTCCTGTAATATAAAGACATGCTTCTGTACTCCTGAGAGGGTATTGAGGGCTATTTTCTATTTTACATTTGGCCACCAAACAACCACTCCATAAGTTATCATGGGTCTTGTTATTGCCAAATATAGCCAGTGGACCATTTTTGGTTTTAATTGCCATGTTTTTTCAAATGCCCGTCTCCCTACAATGAGAGACATTTTACATTTGTTGGTCACTTTTTGTAAGTGTTGGTTCCAAATAAGTTTACTATCTAAGATTAGACTCAGATAGGAACAGTACAAAATGAAGTTTTTAAAAACAGTTTTTCAAGAAGAAAACCTTTAATTTCCATTTGTTAGCATTTTGGTTTTTCCATGGCATTAGTAATCTTCAAGAAGATGATAAAATTTAAATTTGCAGGTACATTATCTGGACGCCAATATGGACAAAATTTGCCTATTAATTTTAATATGGAATCTTTAATAGGGTAAGTAAAAAGGGGGACTTTAAATATGATTTACTATCATTTCTTTATTTTGAGTTTCATTATTCTCTACTGTTTAAATACTAGCCACTAAATATTTTGGTATTAATAATATGAGTATGAAGAAAATGTTGGTCTTTAATTTTAGTTTTATTTAATTACCTAATTCATAAATTTTCGATGACAGAAAATGCTCGCAAAGTCATTTTTGTATTATTAACGTCAGCAAAAAATCCAATTACAAGCAACTGCATTTTGAATTTCACAAGTCACATGGCGGCTCCCACCACCAGGATATAGTACACGTTGTTTACTCCTCCTCTGTACCCATTTACAAAGAGCAAGCAAAAATACTACGTACCACTTTTTGACCTCATTATTAATTCAAATAAAAAATATCTCGAACTTTCACAAATATGTTTTTAATACTTTTATATTTTCAGATTACTACCATTACTCAATGGATTACAATCTTCCCCGCTGCTTTATTTCGGAAAAGCGGCCTTACTAGGTTACACATCCAAGGGTGATTCTAGAACGTGCACACATCAATATCCTGAGTGTCCTTCAGAGCCTGACAAATTGGTGCAGTACCTTAATAATCACAACGGAGGTTTTTTTAGATATTTCAATGGAATTAACCCTAAACTTTACGCTCCCTTCTATCAAGGATTTTACCAGAACTATCGACCACCAGTACCATCTTATTTAAATAGACAAGATGTAGCTGATAAGAGAATTCAGAACACTCCAGTGAAATATATTTCTGCAAATAGCATTAGACAAAATAAAGGGTTCACATTTCCTCAAAAAGATTACTTACATTTTCCGGAAAATATTGAAAATAATAGATCTCCAAAAAAAATTAACTTTTATAAAGGGGATGGTGCATATTTTGAAAAACCATTAGCAAATCATAAGGCGACGCCGTTAATTTTTCCAGACAGGACTGGTACTGGACAACTAATTGTAGATTCAGAATATTTTAATAAAGATACAAGAGTTCCATTCAACGATAAACGAGAATTTTATACCAGTAATGATATTAGTAATGTAAGGAATTTTTATTTTAATTTAAACAGATTGGAACATGACAGGGAATTGCATTTTCCTGATCGTTAAGGCTAATTACTACTTTTGAAACTACTGTATTAAAATTAATTAATTCGTTATTTATTACTCTAATCCGATAAACTATGTACTTTTAAATAATAAAATATACATTAAATATATACCTGTTTAACTATTTCCATAAATATGAGTAGGTACTAGTACAGTACAGTATTAGAATATAAATCAGTTCAACTTATGTTGATACATGCAAGTGAAAAGGAGTTCTCATGAATTAAATAATGCGTTAGTAGCGATTATTTTAATGAAAGAAAAATAAGAATTATTAATATTTTTAAATGAGCCAAATAAACTTCCGATTCGGACATCGTCGTGGCAACATTGAAATGGCGGTCTCCAAATCGGGAGTCCTCAAGTCCTACAATAATCACAAAATATCAAGTTCAAAGGTGACCCTCCGACTTTAAAAAGTATACTAAATAAAATAAAATATTCAGTGCCAAGAATTCTGAAGAATATTTAAAATAATTATCAAGTGTAGTAGAAGATTGAGGACAGAAGTCCGACGCACGAGGGTGCAGCTTTTTCACTTGAACAAAATTTGAAAAAATAACTTTTCCTGGGTAGATAGTCCTCGGATTAAGCCCATAACAACATTAAAGAAGAAGAAGAATGAGCAAAATAAAGTCGTATATTGTCTTTGCAACTTCTTCTTACTTGATAAAATGAGGTTCCTTTATCATATCAATTATTATTTCATCATCTTCAGAAGAAAATTTCCACGGTGTTTATCACTTTAATTATAATATTTCACTTGACAGTTTACTGTATAGAATAGATGTTTTCATTGGAAGACATATTGCCGTTGCAAAGTCATTGCAAGAGCTTTGCGCCATCTATCAGTTTACATAGCAAGTAATAGAAGCAGGATTTTATTTCGAAGGTAACTGTAAATTATTGTTTCGGCAATCTATCTAAGGTTACGGCGTCAGCATAAGTTTCGTCTTTTTTCTTTTCTTCTTTAGTTGTGGCCTAGTTTTTCTTTAAGTGTGCCCAGTGTTTCATTTTTTTGTCATATATTTGTAAAAATAAAAGATTTTTTCAGTGGATTATCCAAGACGAGTGGAATTTTGTAAATGGTTCCAAAATAATCTAATGAGGCTGGGTTTTTTTCATTCTATTTACATAGTCTAGTAGAACAATCCCAATGACAATAGATGGCAGCAAGCTCTGTTGTGTACTAGTCATATCTTTGATATCTGTATTTGTAACGTGTGGAGGGAAACTTAGGCCTCATTAGGCCCATTGTGCATCCTCCTGAGATGATAGGCACCTCCTAATTCGTGAGCCAGCCTACAGATTTATTGTAGTTGACAACGTCGCCAACAAGTGCATCTCTTATATCGGCCGGTGTTAGCCGCTACTCGCCGAACACAAATCTAATAAATGAGAGCGTCGAGCAATCGTAAAGGATATGCTCGATGGTCTTATCTTATTGTTCGCACCCTCTGTAGAGTGCGGATTCTGACAGCCCCATGATATGGAGATGCTTTCGTACTTGGCAATGACCAGTCAGAATGCCTGTGACTAGGCGCAGATTATGTCTAGTCATAGTCAAGTATTTGTTTGCTGCAGTATTGTCAGGATAACTTAAGAGGTCCCTAGCAACTCTGCAGTTTCTTGTTTCATCTTTCTATCCGGCCAGCAACTAGATGAAGGGCTGAATCAGTAGATCTGCCTGGTGTGTATGCATGTTGGTTTGGGTGTAGCGGTGTTGTTGTAATCACCGCATCCCTTATGTACCTTTCGCATAGCCTTTCCAACCTCTTCATGGAGAATGATGTTAGACTAATTGGTCGGTATGTTTTGGGGACAGTGTAATCCATCCTTCCAGATTTGGGTATAAATACAACTTTTACCTCTCTCCATTTTTGGGGGATATACCTCAGAGCCAACAAGGACCTGAATATACCCACCAGGTGCGGTGTGAGTTCCTGCAGACCCCACTGAACTAGGGCCGGATAGATACCGTCAGGTCCTGGCGATTTAAATCGAGAGAAGCTAGATATTGCCCATCTAATTTTTTTCATTGTCTACAATATGTTTGGCAGTTTGCCAATCATAGACAGATGGATTGTATTCTTCCTCTACCCAGTCCGCCACGTCTGTGATGACCGAGCCAGGGAAGTGTGTTGACAGCAAAAGTTTGATGATATCTTTGAGGTTGGCAGTTTTCTTGCCATCCTTTTTGATTAGCGCACCAATACTTCGATGTGGATCTTTTGAGAGAGCTTTCTGAAGCCTCGCTGCTTGCGGGAAATCTTCGATTTCTTCGCAGTAGGATCTCCATGCATCTCTCTGCTTTTGTCTGACGATTTTTTTGTATTCTCTGAGGTGAGATTTGTAAGTATCCCAGTCCTCTTTGAGTTTTGTGGTTCTTGCCTGATTAAAAGATTTCCTAGCCATCTTCCTGAGGTGATCCAACTCGTGACACCACCATGCAGTAGTCATCTGATCGTGTTGGACCAGCCTCAGAGGGCAGGATTTCTTATAGACATGTTTATTTTGCTTTGGATAGTGTTCGTGTACTTTTTTTAATGACAGAATAATAAGGAGGAACACTGTAATTTTTATATCCCACTAGGTCTTGCAATTTAAACACATACAATTTTTTTGTATACCTACATAAAAAAATCGATTTTTTAAAACGTCATTCATAATCTTAGAAAACGCACAACAGAAAAGAGATCAAAAACCCAATGCGCATGTTGTATAAAATTTTTGCTAGATTGCGAAGAAGAATTTGGTTTGCGTTTAGACGTAAATGGACATTTTCAACAATTTCTGTATTTTTAAGTACGTAAATTTTGATTATAATTTCAAAAGTAAATGGTGCAGTGTCATTTCGAGGTAATAAAATTTATTTAGGTAGATGACAAAGCAAATGTTTATTCTTTTTTATTTTTTCAGTAAATGATTAAGACACATATACATATTTGTTCGATTTTGACTAGTATAATAGATGATAATGGGAAAATTATTTAATTACATACTATCTAAAATTAATTAAAGAAACAAATGGCAAATACATCCTTAAAATGTATCAAATAATTATTAGTTTGGACCATAGGAAACATATATTTATTTTTGTAATATTTTTATATAAATAAATAATTTTATCGGCTACTCCTAAAAAACGCAGAAAAAAAAATATCTAATGTTTGGCACTTTGTTCATCTTTACAAGCACGTCCTCTCTTGGCTAGTTGATTGCAGAATTTCGGCGACTGTATGAAGTCTCCTAGGAACACACTCAATAAGTAGAACTCCTTATGTTTTTCGGGAGACGTTTTATATTTACTAAAAAAAAATTATAATTTATTAATATTTATTAAAGCAGGATTGGCATTGCAACATAATTTTCTATGTATAATGTTAGTATTAGATTCATTCATGATCTGTAAGTTTTAAAATTTAATTTTGGACAAATAGGAAAATGGTGGGAAATTAGTTTATTATTGTATACGAAAAAAATTATTCATATATTCAAGGCATAAATATTTTATCCATACAAGATTTATCACAACAAGCCCCAATTTACTGATCATTTAATAATGAAAATGAGTTAGAATACAAACGTTCAACCACAGATTTTCCTCTTGAATTAATAGCTTTCATCAAATAAATTAGTATTTTCTAAAAGTTCCAAAAACCATCTAATAAAATAAAATAGACACGGAAAGGTATATTAAAGAAACAATTTGCCGGCCAATATAGCAAGAAACAAATATATAAAGAACTGGAGTATTTATTTACCTGAAAACTTCGTCCCAATCAATCACCATTTGTTGTCGACCATTTGACCTCACGCCTTTTTCTGCGTGATGCAAACAAACTTTCGGATAAATGCAGACATTTTCACCCAATTCCGAAACCAATCTTTTTTCGGCTTCAATCATATTGATCATTTCATCCGACGAGATGTCTCGACGTGTCCTTCTATAAGTATCTAAAAATCACAAATTAATTAACAGTTCATTGTGTTATTTTTTAATTTACCGCCCTCTAGCGGGATAAAAACTGACACGTATTGTAAAGTATGACACTCCAATTGAAAAAGCTAATTCCGTATCATAAATTTACTATTATAATTGAATGCGATTAAAGTTATGTTTCATTAAATTATATTTTGTTGTCATGCATTAAATAATTATTGAAATTAGTTTTAAAATGAAGTGTCACTTTTTACAATACGTAACAGATTTTATCCCACTAGAAGGCACTAAAATCAAAAGTAAGTCAATGCTGAATTCCCTATAAAATTATCTTTGGAATAAAAATTTACCTGTTCTAAACAATTTTTGATATTATTTTTTATTAGAAAATATTGCTAGTGGAAAGCTTTTAAATTAATATCCTGCATATACAGGGTGTACCAATATTAACTTGATCTCTAGAAACTCAGAGACAAAATTTTTCAAATTTTAAAAAACCTTTTATTGTCATATAAAATTCATAACCAGAAATTGAACCACCTGGAACCCGGCAGCAATCCTCAATCCCAAGTACGAGTATATTCAAGTAACACTTTACGTATTTTAAAGTATTACACTTCATTTGAAAGAGCTAATTTAATGCACAATATAATAAAACTTAATTTATTAAAACATGAACTCAAATAATTGAAAAGTCGTGAGGATTTCAAATGAAAAAAAATACAAACCTTAATCAAGAACAACTAAAATTTATGCTACGCAATATATCACGAATAAAATTAGATTTCAAATGAAGTGCCATACTTTAATACGTAACAGTTATTTATCCCGGTAGATGGCGCTAAAATCAAAAGCAACGCAATTAATAGACACATATTGTTGAATTTTTCATAAAATTTTCTATCAAATGATGTATTACTTGACAAAGTTTGATATTTAAAAAAATAGAAGGTTGTTGGGCTCCAGAGGGTTAGTTTTCTGAATATGAATTTTCTACGACATTTCGCCCCCTTACCAATAAAAATTGACGAGTTTTTTTACGAAAAATTCCTTTGTTTCTGTATTTCTGGGGTCAAATTAAAGTCAAGGTATCGTTGATACACATTTGTACACATTAATATATATAGTTAAGCAAAACAACTAATTTTTTCCACTGAAGTCATTGTAATCATGCCACTTTCTCTATGACATGTCGAATTCAAAAAAGTTTCGCTTCCATAACAAATCTAATATTAAATAGAAACAAACGTTATTTTAAGGTGAAAGCAAAAACTTAACGTTATAAATAATAAGAAGGTTAAATTTTAATTTAACCATGTAATAGTTAGTAATCTACTTGTGAAACATACCCTAACCAACGCGCAACGTACCACATTAACATATGTAGAATATAGTACGAGTACTAGGATTATTATATTTTGTAGTTAGTTCTATTTGCTCTGGATAATTAATTATCGACAGTACTGTAGAAAAAATTATAATGAAATGAATTGTCAACTATTTTCAAGTTCATTAGTTCAAGATATTGGCCTGCTGCAATTAAGTACTTTCTATATGACGAAACTATTTAACTGTACGACACATATTGAATACGATTACATAAAATAATTATGTAGTAATTAACAATTTTTGTGAAATTAATGGTCTATTCAGGGTAAGTAGTGCTTGTCTGATATCTGTAGAGATGAGCATGTTCCTTCCAGTTAATAATACAATCTAGTAATATATTATGTTTATCAACAATCCTAGAGTGTACATTTTTAATTAATTTACATGTTTCGTTGTTGGATTTGATGGGTTTCGTATTAGCAGTAATTGATATGATATCCAGATTACAAATCACAGTGCTGATGTGATGTTGAGTGAGGTTTTCCTCACCTGTAAGTCAAATGGCACCATCAATCATCTTGTTTGTATGCCAAGCACAGCGGAGATTGACAGAGCTACACCGAAGTGCTTACTACCTACAACAAAGAAATCAGGAAAGCTAAACGTAACAGCTTTAGAAAATGCTGCGAGGATATTAACTCTACACCTGCGGCAGCGAGACTGCACAGGGTCCTGGCAAAAGGGAGAGTTGATACAGTTATGGCATTAAAGAAACCAAATGGAAGCTTTACGGAGAGTGAGGAGGAAAGGGCTTGCCTCTTACTCGAAACTCACTTTCCTGAAAGCACACCTTTTCTAATAAGGGACACAACTAAGGTAAGCAGGCCCCCAAGAGAGGCCGCTGCAGTGGCCAAACACATATGCAACAGAAATCGGGTAAAGTGAGCCGTAAACACTTTTGAACCATTTAAGTTTCCAGGTGTGGATGGAATATTTCCTGCCCTGCTTCAGCAGACACAGGAGGAATTACTACCACACATAATCCGGCTATCCCAGAGCAGTCTGGAGCTGGGATATATACCAGAAGCATGGAGAAGTGCCAGAGTCACCTTTATTCCAAAAGTAGGGAAAAAGGATACCACACATCCTAAATCCTTCCGACCAATCAGCCTCACATCCTTTGTATTAAAAACAATGGAGAAGGCTGTTGATAATTATATCAGAATGGAAGTCCTGAAGAGGGTGCCACTCCACCACAGCCAACACGCGTACCGAGCAGAAAGATCTACAGAAACTGCCCTGGTACAGTTGACTGACGTAATCCAGGATGCACTGACAAACAAAGAAACGGTCGTGTGTGCCTTCCTAGACATAGAAGGAGCTTTTGACAACACGCCACACGAATCTGTAAAAAGAGCACTTGCATACAGAGGAGTAGATAACATCACATCAAGATGGATGGCTCAGAGAACTGCAGAGACACATATAGGGCAGGACACCATCTCCATCTGCACAACCAGGACGTCCACAAGGAGAAGTTCTATCCCCACTAATTTGGAGCCTAACCGTAAACGAACTTCTATGCATGTGTATCACTCCAGACTCCAAGGGCACTATATCTAGGAGGATATCAAATAGAAGAGGGAGATTTACCTAACTTGAAGCCACTTCAAATCCTACACTTCCTTGAGAAGGATTAAAAGGGTCGTTATAGGCATTGAGACATTTCCTTATTGCATTGGCGACAGAAGAGGGCACAATAGATCTTTTAGGTCGCAGTGTATTAACACCCAATTCCCAACATAACATAATCAATCATCTTTAAGTCGCCCCAGAACGCCACGGCAAATAACAATAGGCATCCCTTCCTCTTAGTCGGCTTCAGGGGTTAAACATTCACTAGTAAGGAAGTAAAGTAATTATCTGATAGTATGTCCTTGAATGAGTTAGGTATCTCGTATTCAAGTTTCTCTGAAACAAACGGACACTCAGTTAGTTAGTGTTGCACATCAGAAGCGAAACACATTGGTACTTCGTCACGTATGTTTGGAAAACTATGTGGCTGGTATATATCCAATTCTGAGGCGACTAAATGGAGTGAATCCGTTTGGAAGACATCCAAGTGGATTTTATGTTCAGAAATTATTCATTCGCGGCCACTCCAAATGGATGCGTAAATAATGTAGTTTTTTTGTATTGTGTATAGCACAACCAACTCGGGATTTCTCATTATACAGCATCCACGCTGCAGACGACTACCATAATTTGTTGGAAGTTTAGGACGTCTGGATATCTAGCAAAACTACCAGGCCACGCCTGCCTATACGTTCAGTTTTCAATATTCACGCAAGTATTTTGGAATGTATTCACTTCATTTGGACATTTTAGTTACTCGTGAATGGGGTCCTTAAAAATAATTTGAGTTCATATTTATCGTGGGATCATATATTGCAAGGAAGTATTTCTTCGGCTAGCTTAGATGTTGATAAACTCTATTTTCTCTGCCAAATATAAAACGACGCATTTTTAAAAGTTTCTCTGTGTACTGCGGTGACAATAAATATTATCTTACAGTAGCTGATGATTTTTCGACTTTCTTTTGATTTTCTTTGTGAAGGTAACCGTTTTGTTTGAAATGCCTAATTCATTACTATTATTTAGTTACTCAAATAATTTTGAATGCATTATTTTAGCCCCATTTCTTTCTCTCTGCTTTCTTATTGCAGTAACCCGAGTTCAGGATGGATTAAAGAGGGACTTTCTTTCTAATATTTTATAGCATTCTCTAAATAAATATTCTTTCAAAACTAATAAACTATTGTAGACAAAGATAAATATTTCGATTTAATCTCATCATACTTATATAATTACAACCAATAATTATGTTTCGATAGATAACAGTAACAATTCGAACAAAATTAGAGCAAGTAAAAGGCAAAATAAATATTAAATTACTATTAACAAAGGAAATATATTTATTATTCAAGGTTTTTCTGTAAAGTTTTAAATTACTATCATAAGCAATATTATCGAACACTAGACGAATGATATACAGGGTTCAACAAAAAGGTAGGTCCTAAATTAAACCAGATATTCTACCTATTTACAAAAGTGGATGGTATTTGTACAAGAACATTTGTGAAATACATATATTTATGCATAGATAATTTAATTTTCTAAAATACAAATTTATTTTTGGTAAAAAATCATTAGCTTATTTAGGCGTCAATTTTTTTGTGACTACATATTAAAAACACTGATTTTTTGGAAAAATTACTAAGATCCAAAAAAGTTTCCAGTAATGAGACATGAATAATCGTAAACAGCATGTTTAATTTTATATCAAGGTATTAGTTTGAAAATGTTATTCAACAATTTCACCCCTTCAGTGACCCCTAAATATTATTAAAAAAATTAAATGCCGACCCTTAAGTGATTAGAAGGTGCTAAATGGTAAAATTTGGAAATAGCTGAATAATATTTTTAAACTTTTTCGATATTAAAAAATTTGGCGTGTTTTTTGTTTTTCTTAAATTTACCTAAAATGAAAAATTATCTCGAGTAGTTAGTTTTGAAATTAAAGCACTGTATATCTGGTATAATTTATGATCAACCTTGTAATTACACCCTGTTATACATTTAAAGCGGAATTTTAAAGAATCTGCTATAGTAATTAAAATTATAATTAATCTAAAGTAATAACTGTAAATAATAAAGAGTGCTAGATTTTTAACGCCCTCATAAAAGTTGTTATTAAATAAGTTAGATCAATAAAAAATAAAAACGTAATTAATAATATCTATGTTATCTAATTGTTGGAATAAAGATAAGTAGCTAAATTAATTATTATACTTACTGGGATTAAGAGAATAGGCCAGTTTCTTGACAAAATTGGATAGGCGCACTGCAACAATTATAACAGGAAACCCAACTAGCTCTACAGGTAACTCAAAAGCGGGTTCCTGTGCCGCAGTAGTCAAGGGTCGATCTAATAACACAGACAATTGTACGAAAAAAAATAATAAACAAAACAAACCGCGGTTGTTCATTTTGGAAATGTGTTTAAGCAAGGTGAAGCCAACTAAACAGTTGAATAAGAATAAGCCGAACTGGACTATTAAGAGTGAAAGTAGCCACCACTACTTGACATGGGTCTCCGGCTAAAGAATATGTGTGAGACTTAAGTTCAAAGATATTTGATAATTGAAGTCGGATGGTATTAGGCAAGTGAGGGAATCTCTAAACCACCAAATATTGTTTTTATTTTGTAATTGACCATTGTAATAATAATTTACGTTGTAGGCTCGGTGGATGATGAGTTATTACGGTACTTAAGAGCTATTTTATAGGGCGAGGTAGTAATCGTGTCCTTTAGTACTTTAATAAGACCTAACGGATGTGTATCGTATATAATTAATAGATTGGATGTCATTCTTCGAAAAGGGTAAAATATTTCGGGGCGTGGTAGTACTCATAAAAATATGAAAAAATGTTTATATGAACATGTGTCCGAAAATGTATATTGAAGGAGATAGGGGGCTGAAAATGTAAATTTTGAAAATTTTTTAATAACTAGGTAGCTTATAATAATAGATGTTACCAAAATTTCCAAACTGGTATAAATCTTACTATATAAAACTGCTAGTGACGTAAAAAAAATGATACCTTAATTAAAAATGGTAGATTTTGTAAGGATTGGGGTTATTTTTATATTTTGACAGTTCTGTCATTTCTGATTATACCGAAAGTAGATATCAACTTTCTTATTTTAAATGGGACGCCCATATTTTTATTCCTGATTTGGAAAGGACATAGCTAAAATTTGTAAATTCTCGAAAAATTAGTTTTTAATATATTTTGTACCGCTGCACGACTGCAGGCAGAGCGTTTATTTTTATTTATGTATTCTTGTGTTGGTGAAATCCATATTGATTTCGACAAATCTACATATAAAGATCGCCGTGTTGTTAGGCAATTCTATGTACACATGTGTTTTAATAGTAGAATAACACTGCCGAGAATAAAAAAAATTATATAAAAAGTATACCTATAGATTAATGTTAAAGAAAAAATCATGCGCAGTCTTCATTGCGATTGGCACGACGTATGATAGATTAACTTTGATGCAAAAATCAAGCGCAGAGGCATTCTCCGTGAAGCTTCCATTTGGTTTCTTTAATGTCATAACTGTATCAACTCTTCCTTTTGCCAGGGCCCTGTGCAGTCTCGCTGCCGCAGGTGTAGAGTTAATATCCTCGCAGAATTTTCTAAAGCTGTTACGTTTAGCTTTCCTGATTTCTTTGTTGTAGATAGTAATCGCAGAGCTACAGTCAATCTCCGCTGTGCTTGGCCTTTTTATAGAGCTTCCGCACTTCGGATCGTAAGTTTGACAGATGACGGTTCCACCAAAGGGCATCTCTACTAGTTCTATTTCTTTGAATGGGGCAGCTTGATTCATATGCCTCAAGTATTGCCCCATTTAGTTCTTCGAGCTCGCTTTCCAGAGCAAGTGGGTGCCCGGACTCCTTTTTTGTCTGGATACGTGCTTAAATTTTGTTTTAGAATGGTGTTGTATTTATCCCAGTCTGTTTTTCTAGGATTCCTCCTGAGGATCGTCTTAGGAATGTCGCTCTCTAACGTAAACACAATTATCTTGTGATCAGATAGAGATGGTTTACTCGATACCCTTCAGTTTTTAACTAGATCTTTAATGATCGGTGTGCTTAATGTGATGTCTAATACCTCACTTCTTGCTCTTGTTACAAATGTTGGAGTAGTATTGCCAATATTTTGCACAATAAGGTTCCGATTAAAAATATATTCTAAAAGTTGCTCACCTCTTTGATTGGTGTCGTTGCTTCCTCATACGGTGTTGTGCGCGTTGGCGTCGCATCCAAGAAGTAATGGCAGATGTCTTCTCTGGCAGTACTCCATCCACTAGCCTCGATACTTCCGGGGGTGGTACATGCCCATCTCCGGCGAAGTAACTAGAAGCTATTACTATGTCTTGCCGCCTCATCCCTAATTCCAGGTTTTCTCGAATTGGAACGAGATCACGCGTCATGAATTCTGAAAGACAAGAATATTTTATATTACTGCTTACCATTACGCATGTTCTGGGTACTTCATCACTAGTGTGATAAATTACCCTTGCATCTTTACAAGCGCAGAGGCAATGCCAAAAGGATCTAAGTCTACATCTTCATTTCTATTGGTCCGATTTAAACGGGAAAAACGGTGAGTAGTGGCTCAACAAACAAATTTATTTGTTTTATGGCACTTGTCAACTCTTTTAAAAAAAAATTAACTATCATGCGTCATACTTTTATACGTTCATCAACTTTTTTCAGTGGATTATTTAAGACGAATTGAATTTTGTCAATTGTTCCAAAATAATCTAAAAAATCTGATGTGTCCATGACTTACCTTTCTACTTAGTACAGGCTTCTCCCGGTTATTTTGTACAATCTATTATGATGCTACTCTGTAAATGTTTAGAGGATAAACTAAATATATATACATTTTCCACATACTTCTAAATCGAAACATTTTTTTTATATATATATTCATTGCCAACGAAAATTAAAGTTTTACCTTTTTCTCCAATTTTTTAGTTTAACACTTTTCTTAAAAATCAAAATTTTGCATATTTTGCAAAATTACATGATTAAGGACCATTTTAGAAAAATTTTGTATGAAACAAAAATTATAGAGAATAATATTATAAGTAACATTTATTTGAAGAATTTTCTTTTCCAAACGTTAACAGATATATTCCATAAAATCTAAAAACGACCCCCTATAAAGTTTCCCCCAGATGTTCCAACTCTGCCAAAAATCTTATGAGTTCATCGCAGGCCAGAATCTAGGGTAAGTTTAAAATGTAGTGTTTTTCTCTTAATCAGTTTTTGAGTTTTCTTTAAAATTCGAAATTTACACATTTTCTTAAATATCTCGAATACGGTTTATTTTAGAAAAATTATGTATGGGACAAGAATTAAAGAGAATTATATCACAAACAACTTTCATAACAATTTGAATTTTTTAGTTGATCAATTTTCTCGAACACGGACCATTTTAGGAAAATTTTGTATAAAACAAAAATTATAGAGAATAATATTAGAAGCAACTTTTATTTGAAGAATATTTAGTAGTAGAGATATACCTATAATATGTTTAAAAAAATTGACAAACTATATTTATTATTATTTTATTAAATAACCAGTTATTAATAACACTATTACAATTGAACATTATCAAAAAGTGAGAGTTATTTGAGCGAATTTTAAATTACAAACTACATTTTAAGCTAAATTGACTAAAATAACAGAAATTACAGCACAAATTATTGCATACTACAACTGAAGGGGTCATAAAGAGTTCTACACTCAAATTGAATGTGTGAAATCGTGAATATGTATGATAGTAATACTTTTTATTTTGAATCTTAGGTTTGAGAATTCTATAATGTCCCTTCGATATAATAAAGTGTACCTACACACAGGCTACAGTCAGCACTTTAATCGATCATACATCGTAGATATTCCAGTATCTCTTAATTTAGTAGATACACTGATGTAAACATTTTAGCAAGAAAAGCCGAAATAGCAGGGAGTTTTAGGTACATTGTCGAAATAAGATTAAAAAGCAGTGAAGTGGGTCGTAACAAAGAAAGTAATAACGAAAATGCAGTACATAAACACTTATCTATTTTATCGCCGTGTACAATATATCGTGTCATAAAGAAAATTTGACGTACCGCATCGCAGTCTAATAATTCCGAAAGATGTGAAACTGTTCGAGTGATAAGCTCCCAAGTCCATAAGAACCAATTTTCAAGATATCGCATAAAATTTATTCAGGAGCTGTTTCGGTTAATATAACTTTTATACTCTTTGTTTTTATGCAGACAAGTCATAAAACTTCCTTGTGCTATCCTTAATTTATTTTCTCTAAAACATTAACTTGCATTCTTCTTTGTTTTACATCTGTATATTTGGGTTAATTTAAAAACAAAATGTATATGAAAACTACTTCATTATCATAAAGAAACCGGGGAAGCTGGATGGTGTAAAAGTTTTATTAGACTTTTTGGATTACGCCTGACATGACGTGCCCGGCATTATAAATACAAACAACTCATTGAAACTTGAAACTACTCCACTCTTTTAACCCTAAAAAGTCTGCTACGGAATTTTCTTGCATTTTTATTTTCACAAAAAATTTACGTTGTACAGACATAACAATTTGTAGCTCTCTTATAACTCAGCGATAACGACTTATGTGCTTTATTTCCTTGAAATATGTATTGTACGATATTACAGATCTTATTTTCCAAAAGACAATTCTATTTCTTTCTATCCATTTCTCAAACTTTTACTTTTTAGAATATTTTTTTTACCCAACTGTAGAAATAAATGTTGTGGTCATTCGTTGTAATATTGTAGAAACATACACAATTTAAAACAAGAAAGGGGCATTTTTATTGAAACTGTTACGTGATTTTGTATACAGTATGGTGCAAATCCTTAAACCCAAGGATTGTTTTATTTAAACGCTTCTCTGGGATATTTATTCATTGATGTCATCTGTCTTAGATTCAAAACGGTTCACCTTTCACCCAAACGGGTATGTTTATATTATGATAAATTCATTTCTAAGCAGATTCCATCAATATTACGAGTACACGTATGGTATTCCTAAATAAATACTGTTTTGGATTTATATGTAAATATAATATTCGTATGAATTATTATATTGTACAGTTATGACCTATTCAACAACAGTTAATGAGTAGGTTCTAATAATAAAAGGTATTTTTGAGAATTTATGTTGTCGTTACTTTTTTTAAAAAATTGCAGGTATCAACGAATTGGTCGTAAATAAGAGCTATAACCATTAAATTTAAGTGATTCTAGAACGTCTCTATCGGATCCCTTTTAGTAACCAATATAAAGTGAGTAATGATCAAATACAGAACATAGGCTTAACAACGAAGATGCAGTAAATTTTAATTTTACACAAATATATGTATATAACCTGTAACGCAAAGGTATATTTTTAAGAACAATGGATTTTAAGGACGAGAAGCTCTTTCTTGTTCATGTTGCACACGATTTTATATTTCTAGATAAGATTTCCAATAAAATATTTAGAATAATAATGTGTACTTTATTAATACATTTTAATTTAGACTTCTAAAAGCCCTTATCCATGCTAGTACGGGACAGTGGCGTAGCGTGGGCTAAATGATAGAGGGTGCGAAGCTTTTTGTGGGCTCCCAAATCTCTATACACAAAGGGCGGAGGGTTCTGTCGCTCCCCTCTATACGCTACGCCACTGGTACAAAATATACTAAAGGGGTACATTTTTTGTTTAAATTAGTTTATACAATATTCTTATAGCAAAATTAGCACGATAAATATTAAATTGTTAAAAGTTGTAAAGCATTCTCAATTCACGTAGCCAGAATCAGATTGGACGACGTCATTTTGGGTTAGTAGATCTCATATGGAATTTTTATATGCAAGAATGCCACTAAAATGTTCACCTTGCTCCTGTGTAAACAGTGTATAGAGTGTAGACAGCGAATCTGTTTATTATCTTAGCAGTGTTGCCAATGTCCGGATAATTTCGTGTCCCAAAGAATACATTTTGAATAAGTAGGTGTTCAAAAAAATACTAAGAATGTATAATAGTATAAAATCGTTTAAAACCAAATAAATAGGTACTCGTTCAAGTAAATGATGGCCGCCATCTTGGATCGCTTAGTCAAGTCGCAAATCACTTATCCAAGTTTCAATTTTCAACACTGACAGGTGGCACCATCTAGCGGTAAAGCTCAGGAAGCACTCTTGGGTGTCTACTCAGAATGTTCTTCAATAAAATTAGCCATGCATTATAAAATATAATACTGTCAGTTGCCATTTACTTTCACCCCTGGGGGTCGATTCTCGACTCGTAGGAATATTTTCCTATAGGAATTTTTGACATTTTTATGTACATCGACAATTTATGACATTTTCCTACATATAGGAAAGTGTCACAAATTCCTATAGGAAAAGGTTCCTACAAGTCGAGAATTGACCCCCTGTACGGAAGTAATTTTTACGTCTTTGCTCCGTTTTGAATACCATTTCTAATTTTTTTGATAAAAGTTTTTAAAAAAATTTTCCACAAACGTTCGGTTTTAATTTCAAGATAAAAATGTCATTACATGGAAGTGGCTAAAATATTTTATAATCATACGATTTGCAAACATTTTAAGGAATATACCGCACACATACGCACACATATTCAAAAATTACAAATATTACAAAAAAGGTTTTTAAAAATAATGTTAAAAAAACTGTATCGATATTCATCTGAAATTACACGAAGCGGATGTATTTGACATAAAAAAAAAACTATATATATTTAGTGTATTACTTTTTACTTATCATAATAAACAATTTTTGAACCTTTTAAACATAATTATAACACAAGAAAAAGAGTACACGATTTTTTGCACACCGAATTTGTCAGAAAGATATATGTGCAACACTGTCATCCATACAGGGTGTCCCGAAATTAGACGGTCATATTTTAACAGCGTAATCTACATCCTAAAAAAGAAATAAAAGTTCATATAAACATAGGTCCGAAAACGTTTCGTTTTCGAGATACAGGGTGTTACAAGTGAAGTCCTGATGGCACATTTTTGTAAATATTTTCTAAAATTTCTTTAATAACCGTTTTTCCAAAGTTTAAAATAAAAATGAAATTTCTCATTCTACAGGCCTATTAATATTGCTTACACTTTCGTAAAAGATAACATCAACTTATCAAGAAATTTTCAAATGCTTTTCTCTTGAAAATGGTGCGTCCTAGCGAGATGAAACAAAAGTAGCTTTATTATAAAGAAAACATTGATTTCCCAAATTTTATATTTAAAAATGTTAAAAACTGCCAACAAAAAAAACTTAGGGCAATTTAACTCAAGCCCCCCCTAATTTACCAACCTATGAAGATGATCAAAAACTGGAGTTTGGTCCATTAAATAGAGCGTAAAAAGTTAAGCATTTGTACCAAATTTCACTTAGTTATCTTTAAACGTTAAATATTTACAAAAGTGTGTCATCAGGACTTCACTTGTAACATCCTGTAACTCGGAAAAGCAACGTTTTCGGATCTATGTTTATATGAACTTTTACTCCTATTTTAGGATTTAAATTAAGCTGTTAAAATATGACCGTCTAATTTCGGGACACCCTGTATATTATCCCTTGATTACACAACCACTTATTTAAAACATATAAATTGTATATATTTAAAATAAATTCAGTTGCACTAATCAAAAAATTATTTAAAAATTTCTTGAAACAAACAGACAACGAGTTTATAGACAACATATCGTGAGCTTACTGCCAAAAGTGACCAAGTCAAATTTTATATGATTTGAGTTAATAGGACCAAATATCTTGGTAAAGTCAGATTTACCAATGAAAAATGACCAAGTCATATTTACACTTTCTGAAAGAACTTAATAAACTCAATCAATATGACTTGGCCATTTTTTATTCGTAGATCTGACATTACCAAGAGATTTGGTCCTATTAACTCAAATCATATAAAATTTTACTTGGTCACTTTTGGCAGTAAGCCCACGATATTCTCTATCGATTAATCTAAAGTTCTAACTAATGGACTTGTCTCAAAACCAATATAATAAACCCATTATAACATTAAATAAAATATCTCGCAAGAGGCAAAAGAAAAAATGTAAACTTGTTTTGCTTATGCTTGAAAATAGTTAGTTCTATTATTTTACTTTAATTCATTAGTTTTTTTTTTATTTTTCAAATAATTCGTTTATCTTACGTTCAACCTTTTATATACCCATATCTAAATTAAAAAAGAAATGTTCAATTTCTCCTTATACCTATAAGTGATACTTCGGATAAAATAAAAACAAGAATTTACACAACCACTAGTTTTTTTGGAGAGCTCTCTTCTTGTTTATTTACCTAATTGTAATACTTATTTGTTAAAACAATGTTGCATACATGACTTATTTTCCCCCTATTTTTAATTGTAATTAAAAATATATTATGTAAAAAAATATGTAAAGCTATTATATGGTAAATAAACATTATTATTATTAAGAATATTTCAACTACACGTTTTTCTGAATAAAATATTAAATTCATAATAAAAATGCATAAAAATTTCTTATGTTTATTATATACAATTATTATAATTCATTTATGGTTTTTATTTATCACAATAGTTTGTATAAGTCGCTTAAAACTCAGTAACATGTCCGTTTTTAAAAGTATTTTCTCCAGATTTATCTAGGAAATTAAAAAGAATAAAACATCTATTTTTTTGTCGGATTTAGTAAAAAATAAATTTAATTTGCCTAACGTGCTATTCCGTCAAGAAATAGCAGAAAGGAATACAACAACACCGGCAAAGAGAATCATGAAAAAAAGATAACAATGTAAACAACAAATATTTGTTATTGAGAAAAATATATTCAGTTCATCTGCATAAATAATGGTATCGTAATTGTCTTTAAATTAAATAACATGTATTGACAAAATATGTTCGACAATCGAATCGATGATGAATTAGTTTCAATAGGTATTGTCCAATAACAGTCAATAGGATACCCTGGAATGAACCAAAATAAATTTTATCTTTGTCATAAATCTTCTGGCCGGTCGTATCCTGAAAAAATGGAATCATTAAAGGGAAATACTTTTCCGAAATTGAAGATGTTTTATAAAAACGATTTCCTTCTTTCATCAAGTGCGGGATCCTGGCCGCTAGCGCATTCTGACTTTTTTCATCATCTGGAGAACCTGCAATCCTGGAAAGGGACATGTCGGATAAAAGTTATGGCAACCGTTTCCGTCGACTCCGTTTATTAGCTGGCCCATATGTGCGGCGAAATGGTATTTTGATGTCAATTCCGCAGTCGTGCTAATCGTTGTATCCCTGAAAACAACGAACATAAAATGAAATTGGCAAGGACTCGCATCATCACTGACACACACGTACACCATTATTGTAAATACGTCGACAAAAATATAAAATTCCAACTCGCTTAAAAACGACCTCTTTAAAAAACTTTAATAGAAAATTAGGAATTTTTATACTATTTTTATGGAATCAATTAATGTTTGTTACACCTTTCTGACATTTTTTAACCATTTCTTTAATGGATTGTAAAATTGTAGTGTATATTGTTGTATATCGGATACTTTGTTTAGCTATGGAACACATACAATGGTTGATAGAAAAACAGAATAAATGAAAAAATACATATTTGCAAATAGAAATTTAAAAATTATACAGAGTGTTACAATGATAATAAGAAATTTGTTAACATAAGTTATTACCGGTCAAATAATGATCATTGATCCGAACACGAGCCGAACATATCCAAATATTGATGGTTTAGAAAATACAGGGCGTTGAAAGTTAAAAGTTCGACTTAAAAATTAACAACTTGATGTTTTCTGGTATAAAAAAAGAAACTTTCAACATCCTGTATTTTCTAAACCATATTCGGGTCAATAGACATTATTTTTTGATCCGCAGTATCTAGATTTCCCATTATTAATTAAACACCCTGTATATATTAACAAAATAGTACGAGCCCAACATATTTCAAGTAGGTCTTTTAAATAATACTACTGATTATCACTTTTTTTCATTCTTCAATTTTTTATTAAACCAAATGTTGGAAAGGTAAACGAATATTATTAAGAAAGCATGGAAAATAAAATGTTATTTTCTGTTGATTCATAAAATATTTTCAAAATTTAGGCAAATTAGATTGTTATTCATTTCTAAAATTACACGAAATTATCACACAATATAGTGAAAATAAATCTTGATAGTCCTGCCTTTGTACCGACTATCTTTCTATACCTCTTGTTCTCCTGCGTTTAACTCCTACTCCTGTCTCTTGTTGTAACTCCTGCTTATCTGTCTCCTGTTTTTCTATCTGGCCTCCTCTTGCTGTTTTCCTGCGTTTTCTCCTCCTACTCTATACTAATTTTATTTCCCTTTCTGCTTATATCTCCTTCTTGCTATATCTTTTCCCTTTTTATCAATTTAAAGAACATTTACTATACCTTTTTTATCTTTTATTTATATATACCATAAAAAATCTCCACTCTAATATGTATTCATCTTAACATCAAAATATTATTATAAAATTACCTCTAAATTCACAAATCTCCAATTTCTAACAATTTTCGCATAATAAAATTCAAATCTAAGGCCGTTTCAACGATACAGAACGATAACATTTTATAACTTCGTGTGTTACTTGGGTTAGCAACCAAGATGTATTTAAAAAAAAATGTAAAACAAGGACCCTCTTTTATTTTAAATAAGAAATAACAGTTTAATTTTTATACTTAATTCTGGAAGATCCTGTATAATAACAATAGGGTTAACTGACACTTGAAGTTCTCCTGTATTGATTAAGTGAAGTTACTCTGCGTTTTTTCTTTATAATTAGGGATACAGAATTTTTGAATTTGCCCATTATTTATCAATTCTATTGTGAAAACCTAATTGTTTTTCTTATTAAAGATATATATCTTATGCTCATAATACAGAAATTAATGTATTGCAAAAAATAAACGACCTAGTAAAAAACAATCCTTCCATAACAGCCCAAGGTTCTCTTATATAATGTTTATAATTCTGTAACGTTCGAATCACCGCCATGGGCATCGTTCTTGTTTATCAAGAAACTGCGAGTAACATTTTAAGTACGGTTATGTAAGCAAAAGTGAAAGTTTTATTCAAATCATTTACGTTTGGTCTATTATTTGTTTCCTGCATTAACCCGGTTACAAGAAGTTGGACACAAATTTTGTTGTGGCTGTTAACCTCAAAAATATTATTTAACTTTAACTATTGTGTAATTTATTATTGTTTTCGATTTAATTGTACATTATATGACTAAATTTATGAAATATATTATGGATACATCTTCATGCAGATTATTCTACTTATTCAGATAAAATGCGTGAAGTTAAATAAAGAACAGAACAGCGCTACCTTACCTTAAATCTCACGCCTCTGTACATCTTCATAGAAATAGAAACCAGGTCAGCTATTCACAGGCTAATGCAGGGACAAAACCCAATAAGCCAACTACATCGCGCTGACCACATAAGGCTATATCAGCAAGTAAAAAAGGATAATATTCTAGCTATGCCTACTGATAGAGCCATAACCACATACAAATTTGAAAAAAAAATTCAAATTCAAATACCAGCCCAAGAATCCTGGAAACAGGGACCTCCCGTACAGGCTGAATTCGTCTGGTACACAGACGATTCAAAAACCAAGGAAGAAGCGGATGCTGCAATCTGTGGACCCAAGTCGAAAACAAATATGCAACAGTGTTACTTAATCAGCACGTATCAGGAAAACTATAGCCATATACTCTGATAGCCAAGCAGCTCTAAAGGCAATTCTCTCACCAGAAATCAAATCACGAGTAGTGAAAGACTGTCTAGAAGACGCTAAGTAGTCAAAACAAGGTGACCCTTGCCTGGGTGCCAGGCCATGAGGGATACCAAGGCAACAAAAAGGCCGACTAATTAGACCGAGAAGACTCAGATAAAGCCATGACAAGCCCCGAACCCTTCTGTGGAGTTGCTAAGGCGTTGTGCAAGGCATCCATAAAACAATGCATGCAAAAAGAGTCTCATGATTGGTGGAACAACTATCCAAGACTGAAACAGGCCAAACAGTTCATCAAGGAACCATCGGCCAAGTTCACGAAAGACCTACTGGATCAAAATCGTCAAATTGTTAGGATAACAGTAGGTCTTCTTACCGGAGACTGTCGTCCTAAAAGGCACATGAATATCATCAGTCCAGCTAAAGAAGCAACTTTGTGCAGGTTCTATGAAGAAGAAGAGGAAACATCATTCCACGTCCTGTGCCAATGTGGTCTGGCTGTAATGAGGTTTCTAACAGTGGGCGAAGAAAAACCAAATGCATGCAACTGCATGCAGGAGCCACTGTCAAAGCTACTAAGTCTAATAAAAAAGATCAAGCTAGACGACATACTCTAAAACAAACTGAATCCCACAATAGATCTGAAAAGGTCGCGGTGGATAAGGACAAATAACGTCCAACTCCTAATCTAATCTACCTTACCCTTGTTACAAAATCTGAACATCTTATCCTCAAGTGAGTGGATCACATACTTTGATTTTCTTTTACTATACGGAGAATGGTCGCACTGCGCAGCTTTCTGAGTGCCTTTTAAAAGGAGATAGAAAACTCCGCCATTTTGAACCCTTATTACGTGTTGCCTACATCTTGGCGCAATATTTTTAATAGGTGCGTTTTAATCCGCTTCTGCTTCGGAATTGTCGGTTTTCTTGTTTTAATCTGACAGGTTAGAACGACTGACCCGAATTCCAAACAGAGGAAATCGCATGGATTTGATTCCCAATACAATTTTGTCAATGACTGTTAAGTTAGTAAGAAAATTGGTTTTTAAAGTGTTAAAGTTCCGGTTAGAAAACCGAAAACTAAAGAAGATAAATAATAATAAAAATTAATTTTTGAACCCCTAAGTTGAAAACAAATTTAATGAAAAATTGAAAAAATCTGCCCACGGAGAGATTCGAACCCACCTATTCGTGTTCTACGCACACCACTCTTACCAACTGAGCTATCACGGACAGTCAATGACTTCCAAATTGTTGAGATGGATATAAGATTTCGAATCCAATCTCGTTTACAGAGGAATTGAACATTTTCCTGCCGTTATATTCTCTAAATGGAGCACCCTGTATATTATCGCATTTTTGCATAATGTTCAAAAAGGCAGATTTTCTTTCGTTATGCCATTTATACTTTTTCCATTTTAAAAGACATTTTTTTCACTGATTGTCCATAATAAGTCCATATTTTTTAAACACAATTGAAGACACTGGTGCAAAAAGGGGGTAGCTTATTAATTTTTCAGGAGAAGGTTAAAACAATTTAAATTTAAAAATATTTAAATTTTTTGTACATCAGGATATATTTTAGTAAAGAATACAATATTGGGTCAAAATTTTACACTTTTAAATAAGTTGAGGAACTGTCTCCTTTTTGCACCGAACTGAAGTATGGGACAAACATATGGTGTGTCCATGGATGGGGTCCCCAAGGGGGAAAACATCTTTATTATTCATTTTACGACCAAAAATCATTCTTTATAAAAAGTTCTGCTTGTTGAGAAAATGGAGTTGCCTTATAAAAATTTTAGATTAAATGTACAGGGTGTTAATAAATTAGGAAAATATGAAAATGCTTCAAGAGGAAAGTACCATTATTTATTATTTTTAACAAAAATTTTATAAAACAAAGTTGTCAAAAATACTGACAGTTGTAAATAAAATGCTGACATAACATGAACGTATACAAAATCGGCTATCTTGATTTTTTTTGTAAAATGTAAATTATTACATGAAAGTAATAATTATTAATATTCTATTTTAAAATATTGGAATTTTTATTTAAAAATTTGTATTTAGTCTCTATGCTAGTTTATAAACAACTTTGTTTTATAAAATTTTTGTTAAAAATAATAAATCCCTCTTGAAGCATTTTCATATTTTCCTAATTTATTAACACCCTGTACATTTAATCTTAAATTTTTATAAGGCAACTCCATTTTCTCAACAAGCAGAACTTTTTATAAAGAATGACTTTTGGTCGTAAAATTAATATTAAAGATTTTTTCCCCCTTGGGGACCCCATCCATCTGTATAGTCCGTATAACCCCTGTATAAATCAACAGAGCTGCATCGTTCTTGTACCAATCAAAAGAGGGTTATCTTATTAGTATATTCCACTATAAAAAGAAGAATACTATAAAAATGAAGCTGCCTCTTTTTTGCACCAGTGTCTTCAATTTTATAAATTTTATATTTTTTATTATGTAGATACAAATGCCTTGAATGAATTTAATTGTTGTATGACCAAAAATAACTTACCTAAGTAAACTTAAAAGTGATTTTTCGGAGTCTGTTAGCTTGTCACGCTGCGTTGAAGCTGTCAATTCGCATATTAATTTGGGCAAACATGCTTTTTTAATGGTCTTCAGTAATTTTGATTTTGTTGTTTGAGGACCTACACATACAAAAATTATAAAAATAAAATAATGTGAAAAGGATAATTAATTTGTTAATATTTTTTATACCGTAACGTCAATTTGATGAAAATCAAAGTCGCGAACGAGAGAGATGATGAATTGAAAAATCTAGAAACGTCCAGATTATTCTAGAATAATAAGGGTTATGTTATTAGGTTAGAACATAATTTCCGCAGATCATTTTAATTGAATTTTAGTTGACAGAAATAAAAAATATCATTATACCAATAAATTATTTATAAAACTTGTTTTTTATAATAATTATGGTTATTTATCATTAAAATGCTGCACAAAAAATAGGTAATTAATTAAACTTTGATTGCCGTTATTATTTTTCGATCATATTGTATGTTAATATGTGCAAATAAATATGTATCTGCACAATATTCCACTATTAAGTCAAGAACACGCATTTAATTAAAGCTGACCTTCATTATACAAAAATCAAAGTCATTTAACAGTACAAATAAATGTAACGTTTCGTCGAGAAAAGTCGTAATTGGAGTTGGCTGAGAAATTTGAATGCTTTAGGTTGAAACTTTAGCCACTTTCAACAGAATGACAATTATTATTTGACAAATGAATTGTAAACAAAGTTTATTACCTCGAAATGATACTGCAACTAAAAAAAGAAACATATAATCAATTTAATATCGATATTTTTTTTATAGGCAAGCTTAAGAGACCAAGGGCTCAAATAATTTTACTAGAGCTGGTTCAAGGGATAAATAGACCAAATAATTTTAGATCGGCAGGCTTGAGGATTAAAGTGATCCAATATTTTTACATAAATTGTTCAAATAAGTTGGAAATCCTAATTAGAAGGCTATATAGAACGATTCCTAAAAACCAGTGCTAGTAAAGATTATTTATCTACGTAATTTAGTCTAAGTAACGCAAAACCTTCACAAACCTATAAAAAAACAATATAAATATTTAGGACAATAAGCTCTTATGGAATAAGCACATAGAGCACATTCAAAATAAATGTCAGAAAGGAATAAACATGCTTAAATGTGTCACAAAAACTAAATGGGGTGTTGATCCTAATATCGCGCTCCAATTCTACAGGGCATACATTCGTTCAATACTGGATTATGCGAGTATTCTTTACGGTTCAGCATCAGAATGTCATCTACGTACAATAAACAAAATTCAGTATCATGCAATAAGAATCTGCATTGGAGCTATGAAGTCGTCACCGGTACAAGCAATATTAGTTGAGGCTCAAGAACCGCCCTTCAGTATTAGACGTACCTATCTAGCGTCAAAGGAAATGATTAAACTTAAATGTTTTCATTATGAAAAAACCATATTAAAAAGTAGCACTAAACAATCTTACTGCTAATTACTGGAAATTAAAAAAGAGTTCCTTATTAGCAGATGCTTTAACCAATGAAACTACGAATCCAGAATATATCTTAATACATTTCCCATATACACTTTATCTTTCGACACTATCGTGTTTAAGCCAACAGTAATATTCCTTGATTACAATGAAATATACACCTACAATAATAAAATTCTTCAATCCACCCTGAGTCGCTTCTTCAACCATCTTTACATTTATACAGACGGCTCAAAATCCAGCGAAGGTACCGGTTATGCATTTCACATTTCTAACACCAATTATAATATCCAATGTAAAATCTCCAATAACTGTTCAGTGTACTCTGCGGAAACTTTAGCCATTGAACATGCTCTAAAGTGGCTCAAAGATTGTAACAGCAAGAATGCTGTTATTATTTCGGACTCTAAATCTGTTCTAAAGGCTATAGATAATTTAATTTTTTTTTAAATACAGAAATCTCAAAGTTTATGTAATATAAAAGAATATGTGCATACCCTATCTCTACTGGGAAACAAAATAACCTTTTTTGAGGGTACAGAGTCATTGCGGGATAAAGGGAAACGAAACAGTTGATGCCCTTGCTAAAAAAGCAACCACTCTCAATATCACCAACAACTTTTCAATTTTTAATGACCTAATTAATTCAGTAACTACTTGGGAGAGACAATGGATGGTTTTCACAGAAAAATCTAATAATCATAATAAATTAATTCACCCTACATTGCCTCGTCACATTCCACGCCTTTCAAACTTCACTATTCCCAGAAAATATGCAATAACTATTACACTTCTCAAACTTAACCATGCAAAATTCCTATCTCACCTTCATAAGATTGGTATAAATCCATCACCATTTTGCTCATGCGACAATATTTCACTTGGGGACTTAAATCATATTTTATTTTCCTGTGGAAACAATAAACGTTATACCGAACAACTATTACAAACTCTAGCTTCAAATCAAATTTCCCTACCTTCAAATATTACATCCTTATTTAGCACTCAGAATAAAAATATATTTGATGCCCTAATTACCTTTTTAAAACAAATTAATATAGATATTTAAAAAACATAATTTTCCTTTCAGAAAAATATAATTTTTTACATTCGTAATTATATAAAAGTCTGTGGCAAATGGATCATTCTGATGCCAACGCTTAATATTCCTCGCTATCTTTCGTTCAAAATCAAATGGTTTCTCGGTTCTTTTGTACTACAAGTTTGCTCGTATGGTGGGATCCACCAATTTGGGGTCTCTCGAATTTAGAAATGGAGAAGCACATCTACTGTTATAAAAACGTTGAATGTTCGAGTTAGGCGATTAATTTTATAGTTTGATTTAGCTGCGAGAAAGCCGTAATCTATACCTGTTATGTTTTTGTTACGTCATTTCAGAATTTTATGACCGCTTCTATATGAACTTGTAAACGTTAATTTTCTGAAAAATCTTTTATGCATTATATAAAAGTCGTAACAACGGCAGTCGAAAATGTATTTAAATTTCAAATTAAGATGTTTACGGCAAAATCACTTTATGTAAATTTAAGGTATTTCCCTTATTTTATTATGGCACGGTGATGGCGCTCAGAACTCTCTCGATACGAAAATGATCCAATAATAAAATTTCTTTCTTTTTTGTCTACATATAAACTCTCAAAAAGTTCCACTCATTTGCTTTGTCAACTATAATTATTATAATATCATTAGTTTATCCCCATTTTCAAATTGATTCACATACGAGTATCTATCTAGAGTTACTTAATTGTTTCCTTAATTTATTTGGAATTCAAAACCAATTACAATATGAGCTTTAACGTAAATAAATCGTAGATGTATACAGTATATTGAATTTTAGTCACCAGTTTTTATAGTTAAGAAAAACCTACCTTACTAAAAAGACCCGTTGATACTCTCATTGTTCTTTTTACTTTTTGGTGTTTTCTAATGGAGGCCCTACACGCTCCGAGATAGCTTGCTGGCCAAAACACACAGTTCTAATGTAAAGATAAGATTTAATCAGCTCAGTTCACTCTATCTTCACGTTAGACAAAAGAGAATAAAAAGAGAAGATGACAAATATGAGTTATGGACTGAATCGATGGACTGCAGAGTCTCAAATCTTACAAAAATCGTAACGTGTAGGGCATTCTTAAGTTACCACTTCATTTGTACTAAATATGAACCGGTAAAATGGTAGAAAAGTGCTAAAGAAAAAACTTGAAATATATTTTTAAAACACTAATAAATCAGCCACTAGTGGATTATTTTTTCGAAATCATTCAATCGCTATAAATTCAAAATTGCAGAAATAGTATTAAAATTAAATCCAAGATTTATCTTGAGTCCAATAACAGTAGAAAAAAAACCGTTTTGTTAATCATAATGTGTTGCTAAGTTGCCAAGAATTGTTATAAAAGAACCTTGAGGTTTTGTGTTGCCTTCACTTCACTTTCAACAACTACCTCGCCCAACTTGAAAGGTCATAAAAAATAGACCGGAATCATATAGCATAACGAATAAACGAAAAAAAGAAATACTAGAATAGACAATAATATTATCAGGGATTCTGAACATTTAGATCTCTTCTACTTAAACCACGTCTTTTAGTTGGTTGAAGTAATAGTCGAGGCAATGAAGCAAAAAAGTGCGGAATTTTTTTAGACTAAGACGGATCAGAATGCGGTTTTTTGCATTCGCTATCAAACATTTTTTGGAAAAAAAGACTAACCGAAAATCGTCTCATAATTTCACACATTCATTGATGTGTAAAATTCTAAATGCCGGGTTTGAATAGAGCGTTAGGAGAAACTCGTATTTATTTTCTTGATATTTTTTGATAATTTATATTTATTAATGTATCTAAAAATTAAAATTATAAATTAATGAGGTAAGGTAAAGTTACAGTTAGATTGTATTTGATTTGAGTTCAATAAAAAATGTTTAAACGCCAATTACACAAATATTGACTTTCTATTCATTCGATTTCTTTCCTCCTCACATAATTTAACTATTATCAACAATTCAACACAGCTATTGCAGTATTGACATCCGTCTCTAAAACATCAGGTTTATTTGACATTCATAGGAATGACATCGATGTCAAAATAAAGGTTCTGGTGTACCAGGTGATAGGAGGGTAATTTTCGACGTGAAATTCGGATTCAGCGACCTAAAAGATCCCCCACAACGATTTTGGGTTCCTCTTCTTCGATTGTTTGAGGAAAACCCTTGGAGACGACGTTCAGGCCCAGGTTACAGTGTACTAGGTGTTCGGGGGATCGTTTTTGACGTGAAATTTGGATTAAGCTCCCCAGAAAACGCCCCTACAATGATTTTCGGGTTGTTTTTGGCGATTTTGTTAGAAAAATTCTTGGGGATGACGTCCACGTCTAGGTTCTGGCGCAACAGGTGTCCGGAAGGTGTTCGACGATGCTAAATTTGAATTCAACGACCCAAAAAAACTCCGGGCGCCGAGTTTTTCTCCTACCCGCATATTTTTCTGGAGAGTCCCACGGAGATGACGTTCATCAGCGTTCTTGAGCTCCAGGTCGGCTGTGGGTCAATTTGAACATCATAATCGTGATCAGCGACCTCGAAAACCCCCGGGAACCCGATTTGGGCCAGTTCTGCCTCTTATTTACAAAGTTCTTTAATCTTCCAAAAGGGGTTTCAAAATATAAATTTTTTGAATGCATTTTTGGCTGCAGCAATGCAATTTCCGGTAGGGACATTTTTTCCAAAAAAATTTTGGAAGCGAATGCAAAAAACAGTATTCCAATCCGTCTTAGTCTAAAAAATTCTGAACTTTCGACATTTTTAGTACTTCATTGCCTCGACTATAAAAACGAACAAGATGTGTCAACGATTATTGATTATACAATTTAAATAACTTTCTGCCAAAATTGTTTCTGAAAATTTGAAAAAAATGTTGGATAAAAAACTGTTGGATGAAGAAATATTGGATAAAAAAATATTGCATAAAATAATGTTGGATGGAAAAATGTTGGGTGAAAAAAATTTGAAAATAATTTTGTATGAAAAAATGTTGAATGAAAAAACGTTGAATGAAAAAAGTTGTTGATACAAAATATTGTTAAAATTGATATTCTTAACTTTTATTTCTTATTATCATTTAGTCACTTTTTTATATAATATTTTTATTTTATTTTTACTAATACAAAAACTTAATATTTTTTGAAAGTATTTAACTGTTTACTTTGGAAGTCTGATATTTTATTGGATATTATTAATTATTTGAAACTGGTTATACAAATAAGTCCTCCTTGAAATATTTGTCCTTGCTTCTTGTATTTCAGTTAACGTAAGTTTTTGCAACTTTGCGTAATGTATCAAGTTTTTTAACACTACATATATTTTTGAAAACACGAGTACTAATTGTATAAATGAACCTAGAAACGAAAGATAGCACTAGAAGGAATAGCACATGTATAACGTAATCTTGCGACAAATTGTACTTAATTAATACTTCGAATCGAAACATTTTTCAATACCTATAATAGTAAATTCATAAATACCAAGCATAATTGTACCATGTTGAATTGGCAAAAGATTTATTACCGGAACTAGGAATTTGTTCAATTAAGACACTTTTTACTGGACTATTGCATAATACATGAAATAAAATGCAAACAGTGCGTTTCTTTGTAGTGTTGAATTACCGTCATTTCTTAGTAATTTTATATTACTAATTAGCTAAAGGTAAGCAAATAAAAAAGAACATACATTAACGTGATCAATTAATAATTACATGATAATAATTGCTCAATTCCTGTTTATAATTAAATACCATGTAATTGACTATTATTACATTAAAATAGATCTGTGGCCATTAAAAAAAAAATACCTAGATAGTACAATTACAATTTTTTATGACATACTTTTGTTTTGGAGTAAATAATTTTTACATTGAGTCAGTTTTAAAAAATGTATATAACTATTTTGATTTGTTGAAAAAAAGTTTGCGAAAGTAACATAACATAACATAAATGCACAAGTTATGACTAATGAAAATGACTTTATAGATATTTGCCTACCAACACAATAAAGCAATAGAGACGCAATAGAAGCAAGAAGCAAATAACTGACGACAAAGTAGGAATCGAGAGTTGTATAATATAGGTTTAGGTTTAGGTACACGCTAACTTGTACGCAATTCAAAAAGTTATATACACGCAAAACATCTTGACAGAGTAGGTGAACTGTGTCTAGGCCGTTGGTGTTTATGCCGGTCGGCGTAGCTAGGTACGAATTGAAATTTTCTGGTAGCGGCGAAGCCGCCACCCTATGAAAAGTCGTTGCTTCGTTCTTGTTGTCACGGCATTATTATTATTATTATTTGTTAATGTATGTGAAATTTGCTTCTAAGGTTTATAAAATACTACTGCTAGTCACGGCGTAAGTGAAAACAAACAAGACGCATTCACACAAACACCTCGTTTCGCGTGTATATAATTTTTTGATTTGTGTACACTTTAGCGTGTATCTAGAACAGCGTATAATATAAGAACAACAAATAAGTGATATGTAATGATAAAATACGAATACTGCAGTAATGAGTGTACTCCAAGAGAATGATAATAACAAAGCAGTAAAAACTAGCTAAAAGGAGAACAGTTAATGACACTAAGAATTAGATTATTTACACATAATGGGAAACAGAAAGTAAAATACAAAAATATTAATATTCGGTTTCGTGGCCGTATCTCATCCCCAGCTTATCATACTTCTATTTTCAGGAGATCTTTTACTTATAACGTTTATACGATGTATAATGAAATCCCAGACAAATTTAAAAAGATGACTGTAAGTAAATTCAAGAATGCATACAGTTTGTTCTTAGAAATAATATTTAAAAAGTACAATACAGTTTTACTGTTGCTACATTTCTGTATTTTTTTCTTTGTAATTTGTTTATTTATTTGTAGCAAATAAAGCTTTATTATTATTATTATTATTATTATTATTATTATTATACTACAAAAAGAAAAATTACCTACCGTCCTAAATGGTAGTTATCAAGATTATACTAAAATAAAAATCATTTATCTGTGAACATTTTAAAAATGTATAGTATTAAACCGTCCAAATATACTTTGAAAGTATGACAGAAATAGGATACATCCAGGTAACTACTCCTGATTGTCAGTCCATTTAATAATAATTTAATCTGACTTGTGCTAATTATGTTAAATCATAATTGTTAAGATCGATAATCATTGGAGTAGGTTAGTAATAAATACAATTACAAAATAATGGTCCAACGTGTCATTTAATATTTAATTCATATTTTTTAAAACTGACAACTAAGAATCCGTTAAAAATAAAATATAAAAATAAAGATCCCATTTCTATTAAATATAGTCTGTCTCCAAAACTACCCTAGTTAAGAAAGTATAGAAAATACTATATTGTTATTTATAAAAATGTTATCAACTAGAGGTAAAAGGGAACTCACCTAAATGTTTGACAGAATCCTCTTCAATGTCAGCATCTATATCTATATCAGTCTTGGAATCTCCGTATCCAGGATTAGTAGGTCGCGGTGAAACAGTTCTGTCTTCTGACCTATTTCCACCGATCAACTTGTGAAAAATTCCAGAGTAATCCGTAACGACGAAAAACAGCAAACATACCGCAAAAACTACCCTAAAAATAATCTTCCCCAACACCATGTTTTCACCACTGATACAGTTAAGACATTTTACAAGTGATTAGAGTTCACTTTGTACCGACTGAAATTTGTTTCTTGGCTAGCTTACCTTGCGACTCGCAACTTTGAATCCCCGCTCTTTTTGCAGTCACCCAGTCAGCTGAGTCCGCTAACTAACCATACCATAACCAACTGTGCATTATTCTGATAGTGAAAGTAATTCCTAAAGCTCGCTAGTTGTATCATAACATAATACTTAACGTTAACGTAACCCAATAGATTCAGTATGTCATTAGTACGAGTATGTTCCGGTAAACTTATGGTAATCTGTTTACATCATCGTATTATGATGGAAATGTGTGTCAGTAGAACGTTAAAATATATTTAAAAGAAGAATGCGAAGAGCAATAAATTAATGCGTTTACACCCAACTACTATTAAACTAATTAATGCGGATTACTTAATACGAAACAATTTTTATTCATCTTTAATTAATTTATTTCTGCAATTTATTGGCAGCTAAAAAATACTATCGAAATTAAATCGCTGAATATAAAATAATTTATAAAAATTATTTTATTAGGGAAAATATTAGTTTTTCTTCAGAGCATTAAGTGAACATAATAATAAATAATAAAAAGATGGAGATTTTTAATTTTGACTTAAAAAACCTAATAAGTTTGCAAACGCTCAATATGTAAGTCGCTGGACAAGTACTAGACACGCAACTTCCTCAGCGGTTTATAGAAGGGGACTAAATATGGATTAAATAAAAAATACGATAGATGGACTCCAAAGTTTTCAAAAAGTTTATAATAGACCGATTTTTTTTTAATTTAGTGTTATACTTAAATTTATAAAGATAATATTTGATTGTTTTTATTTTTGATTGGTTAGAAGCATTTAAGAAGCTAAACAAACTGCATTTTGTTCATCATTTTTCGACTTTTTCAATTTATGTTAACATGGGTGCTGTCTGTAATTGAAAATTGAATAAATTACATATGTTTTAAGTTGAAGTACATGTGGATCACAAATCATGTCCAAATATTATTTTTATATGGGCAGTCTTAAGGGGTAAACAATCCAAATTATTTTTTTATAGACAGACGTACTTAAGTGGTAATAGGACCAATTTTTTTTTAATGGGAAAGCTTAAGGAACAAAGAGACAAAATATTTTTACATGGATTGACTTAGGGGTAAAGGGCCTATTATTTTTACATGTGCAGGCTTAAAGACCCAAAGTTCTTCGTAGTTTAGTCATTGCTTTGCAAACTGAAAATTCAACGTTTCAATCATCTTTCAGTCGTTCGTTCAAAATTAAATAGTTTTTTTTATGATACAAGTTTTCCCGTGGAACCTCAGTCCAGATACGGTAGAAATCACCAATTTAGCATCCGTCGAATTTATTTCGTTTCAGCAAATTTATGAGCGGTTTAATCTCTCATCGGCAAGTGTTTTAGTTGTCGAAATAACCGTGCTCTATATCTCATATGAAAACAAAGAATAATGCTTTTGGCCTTCAACAGTGCCATTTGTGGTTGCATAAAATGCATTTTTTTCATATGACTGTTGGATGGGGCCAATAAATATCTGAAATGACTGCGCTAATAAAGAGGCGACTGAAAGAGATAAATCGGCCCTAAACGCGGCCGATTACAGTGTATCTATTTGTTTGATAAATTCAGTCTGCACCAAATGGAAAGTAATTCCACTGGGAAACGATTCCGCTGGGAAATTTTCTGTTGAAACTAAATCAGTCACGTCGGAAATTGTTTGATATCGGTAAATCGGCGATCAACAAATTTATGATATGCTTATAATGATAGACACACAATTTATTGTAGCAAATGCCCATCATAAATGCGGGACACTTGTCGGTTCTCACCAAATACTAATCAGTAATCACTATGGTAGATCGCATGAATGAAATTAGCCCTAGAGAGAGTCGGATAATAATGTATTCGATGTAGCAACCATAAAAAATATAGGTATCTATACAAATATGTTAAATAATTCGTAAATACAATAATTATTAAATTAAATTAGTTATCCGATTCGAACTAAACCTATATCCAGAGATATATAAAAATAATAAAAATATAACTAATTACAAAATATGTGAAGCCAACAAAATATCACATTTTAAGTAAAAATTGCATGGGAGAGCAGGATAAAGCAACAATATTTCTATTTTTGTAGACAGAAGCTAGTAAAAAAAAAAATATTGTCTCGTTTATTTATTTTTCAGAATTATATTTACTAAATACACCAACTTATTTTATAACTCATTTATTTGCATTCAAAATTCGTTTAAATAAACATCTTTTTCAAATAACCTAAAAAAAGCTCAAAAACAAAAATAAAAAAAATGTTTAAAAAAACAGTAATTTCCTTTTTGTAAAGGGTGGTTTTTTGATAAAACGTCAGGGGTATTTGCTTGCATATATTACTTAACTGAAGCGTTGTTTAATTGAAAGTGAATATTAAAAATTGTCGTGATGTGATAAGAGTAGGCATTATTGTGAATGCATAAAAATTTCCTAGCGTGCCTTTCTCCTCTGAAGCGAACAGATTAATAAGGAAGCTGTCTCGAGGTACTCCACGTAATACTAACATAAATGAAGTCGTATTTTCACTTTCGTAACAATAATGTAGAACAAGGAATCGGAAGTGTGTCACATCAATTGAACGGTTTTATGATGTTGGTCAGGTTTTTTGTATAAAAATATCTTGCTAAAACAGTGCTAAGAACAATTATTATGTATTAAAATATTTGTTGCCTTTTGTCTCTTTTATAGACAAAAAGTTCTATCGTAGTCTTTCTATATTTAGTTTACTCGTCCAAATAGATGCAGATGTTTGAAGAATTATTGACTATTTTTTCTTTTTATAAAAGCATTATTTTAAGAAAATAAATTTCAATTTATATAAATTATATGAGGAAATTTAACATGTTTACCTACATAATGACAAATTATTCTTCACATCCTTGTTAGTGGAAATAGCTGAAAATCGGAAATGGCTCATTCCGATTATTGAAACAATTAAATTTCGTGGACGTCAAGAATTGGCACTGAGAGGTACGTGCGACTCAGGTCGTCTCAAGTGAAATCGCTCGATTTCCTCTTAGAAAATACCATCCGGTATTTTAAAATACATTGTTTTTGTATAGAATTACTGAAAAAATCGCATGATTTTTTCAGTATTTAGAAGGGATAACACACGTTCTTCCCTGTATAAATGGAGATAAAAAACTAATATCATCAAGAAATGTCCGACTTCCTAATGATATATATTTATGCAAGAATAATGAAGGTCTAATCTGCTTAATCCAAACAGTAGGGTTAAGAAAAAGTTAAATAAGTATTTCGTCTCAATGAAATCGCTCCATTTCCTCTTAGAAAATACCGCCCGGTATTTTAAAATATCTTTTCTTACATAGAATTAGTACAAAAATATTTAGAAGGAATAACATATATTCTTATCTGAATAAGTCCATAAAAACAGTAAAATCATCAATAATCTCTCGACTGCCTAATGATCTATATTTATTCAAGTATAGCGACCGTCTATTCTGTTAATTCAAACAGTAGGGTTATTACAAGGTTAAATGAGTATTTCGCCTCAATGAAATCGCTCGATTTCCTCTTAGAAATACCGCCCGGTATTTTAAAAGATATTATTTTTACATAGAATTAGTACAAAAGTATTTAGAAGGGATAACACACATTCTTATCTGAATAAGTACATAAAAAGAGAAAAATCATCAAGAATCGCTCGACTTCCTAATGATCTATATTTATACAAGAATAACGAACGTCTATTCTGTTAATTCAAACAGTAGGGTTAAGACAAGGTTAAATTAATATTTTGCCTCAATGAAATTGCTCGATTTGCTCTTAGAAAATACCGCCCGGTATTTTAAAAAATATTATTTTTACATAGAATTAGTACAAAAGTATTTAGAAGGGATAACACACATTCTTAACTGAATAAGTCCACAAAAAAGATAAAAATCATCAAGAATCGCTCGACTTCCTAATGATCTATATTTATACAAGAATAGCGGGCGTCTATTCTGTTAATTCAAACAGTAGGGTTAAGACATAAATGATGAAATATAATAACAGCCTACCTGTTGATTCTTCGTCAGAGTTATACTCTTTTTATTTGTTCCTGTAAGTATTTCACCTAACTGCCTTAGCAAGTTTGTTTTGCACTATTTTTATCCCGATCTTAAGAAAAATGAGCGCGTTTTAGTATTTTTAATTTTTAAATTCACTTTTAAATATAATTTAGTTCGTTGTTGATAAGCACGAAAAAAGGAATGATATGCAGGTTTGGTATACGATAGGAGCAGTGAATGTGGGGCATTTTGTTTACTCTAGAAAAAATATGTGCTGATGAGTAGGTTTCAAGAAAACTACAATGTAATTATATCAAGGACAAGGGAAGGAAAATTATGCTTCATTCAAGGAAACCTATTTCAGAGTGCACATTATTAGAAACTTATAAATAAATATTTTGAAAATGTAATAAGTATTTTTCATATCCAGCTTAAATAAAACAAACATTTATTTTGATTCCAGTTTTATTTTTAACCACCGATTTTTTCGTGGGTGTACCGTTGAACAGAAATTTATTAATTTGTAAGGCCAATTTGGATCAATTATGGTATAGTTCGAATGTTGCATGCAAATTTGCCATCATCTCCAAATTGAATTATAATATACAAGACCCAGGGACCACCCTATAAATTAGACCAGCGTATAACAGACCATTTTTTCCTTGTGATGATAGTAATTGAAGTTTAATATGCATACCGAGGGTCTTTAAATGGGAACCAATGAACTGAAATTGTTCGCTAATACGTATACAAAGTGAATACGGAAAAAATTAAGGAGAAAGAAAACATAAAACTGGTCTCATGTATATATCCTTATAAAGGATTGCGTAATATGAATTTAAATATAAATGAAATGATTTTGAACACGTAAAGGGCTAAACCATTTTTGAAACTAAACAATTATCATTTTTTTTTTAAATTTCAATTAATAAAAAAAGCCATTCAACCATTTTCCGGTGACAAATAACTTTCTATTTGGTTTTTAACTTTTAAATGTATTTCCTTTACCTATAGCAGCAACAGTAAAGAATAGGTATTACGATAGTAGTTAGATAGCCTAGTAGAACAACCTTACAGACATTTCATTGGAGGTAATCATGTCGCGACATCTGTTGGAACAAGTACAGAACTTCATCAAAATTGACCCGAGTTTGAATCTATTTAAGACTCTTTTCAGGAACAAGAATATAAAAAAATGATTTACTTGATAAGACAGTCGGCTGA